TGAAAAAGGTGAGAGAAATAGAGATAAAAAGTAGACCTAGGTCTATGAGAAGGTCCACAAATGAACCTTACATGGAATTCGAGAAGGAAATGTAAATGAAAAATGAGTTAAAAGTGATACTCCCTCCGTCCCATTGGATTTTGCCAACTTTCCTTTTTCGGTTGTCCCAAAAATTTTTGTCATTTTCCTATTAAAGCAACTAATTTGTGGTTCTGCACATTTTTCTCTCCTCTGTACAAATCTCAACCACACAGTTTTTACTATTCTTATTTCTCACATACTTTGCACTTGGCAAAGTTCACCAGGATAGAGATAGTATAAAAAATGAAAATGAATAGAAATTAGGAATACATGGGATCTTACACATAAAAATTATGAGATGAAAAATGAGACCCATGTGTAAGGGTGTGTAAGAGATCACACCCTTGCATTAGATTGTCGGAGTGAATCTGATAGAGCATCTCTAATGGAGTAATGGTTATTCTTAAGGATTTACTTACCATTTTTAAAAATATTGAAGCTACTAGCCTTATATTAGAGTGCATCTTTCTGTCTAAATTGGACAAATTAGCCAATACCATCTATAGTGATCTACTTTCTCGAAAGGAGAGAAGTTTGAACTAAAATGGTAATTACCATTTTAGTAAATTAAAAATGCAACGGTTAAGTAAAATATATTTTCTCCGTCCCGTTAAGTTTGTCTCATCTTTCATTCGGTTTGTCTCACTAAGATTGTCTGTCGCTAAATCTCTTTTAGTGTATTCTTACTTTATTATTTCAATATCAACCACATAAATTCACTTTTCTTAATAACCGCACCAATCCTTCATGTCGCAATGTTAGTGTGACGGAGGTAGTAGATAAAGTCTCAAAAGTGGTTTTTTTTATTTTGAATTGATGTTGTTTTATTTTATTGATATTTTTTGATTTGGTATATTTATTTTATTTAATGTTTCTACTTTGTTAATTTTAAGAAATGTATAATTTTGTTTTGAAATATTTAAAGTTGATGTTTTTTCAGTATGTTTGTGTTGTTTGAATTTCCTATTTGTCACTTTTTTTTAACTTAACAAAGTACATATTTTTGTACTAATTTTAAAAATATGCCTTTGCATATTATCCCCGTTATAATAATAACACTAATAATTTATGGGTTTAAAAATATCATTGACATTTTTTCGATTTAAAAGTATTTCAAAACAAGCACTACATGTTATTTTTATTGTATTAATAAATCAATTCATTGAAAATGTATATTTTCAAAATTGATTGATTTGTGGGTCCTATTAAAAAGACAAAACACTTTAGTTAACCATTGGACTATCACATTATTGGAAAAATGAATTAATTAGAAAAACTTGATAAAGCTGATGTGGCAAGCAAAACTGCAATGTGAATAGCTAGCTAGCCATTTTTTTTAAAACCCGGTAGGCAAACCACCAAAACTAGTGGGGCAAATGTCCGGGAACATTTGTCGTGTTTTATTAAATAAAATCCAAAATACACAAAGAGAGAGGGACTAGGCCAATACATCTCCCGGAGAAACATACAAATCCCGAAAACTACTCCGCTCATAATGAGTGTTAGAATCGAAGTTAGAGGGCCGAATCGATCTTATCTCATTTTTAAAGATAACTGCGCCGGAATATACATATAAAACACAGTTAACGTTCAAAAAATATTTGACGGCCTTCCCGATTGATTTTTTAGCCTAATAATTTTGAGGATAAACAAGACTTGATGAAGAACATGTCATAAAACTCTGATACAAAAATTCCACTGGGAAGGCGGACAAACGCCGCCATCGAGGCGGCGGTTCCTGTCTGCAATTCCAGACATGGATATTTATCTCTCTCTCTCTCTCTCTCTCTCTCTCTCTCTCTATATATATATATATATATATATATATATATATATATATATATATATATATATATGATGGTCCCAAGTGAGGTAGAAGTCTAAAGGGGGGGGGGTGAATAGACTTCTAAAAATCTTTTCTTTTCAACCCTTTTTCCTCTAACCAGAATGTGTTCCAATATCTTTTGGGAGATATTGAAACATACAACGGAAGTCTTGACCTCAAGAGTGTGACACTTTATAGGAACACAGGTTATGATCCTTTTTGTTGTAACAGAGATGGGTGGACAGAACACTTTTGTGTGAAGGATTTAGACCTATTGTCATAGATCTCTTTGTAGTGCGTACGTAGGTAAGGAGTTTTGGTTCTCAGAAAACTTTAGGGAGTTTTCTCGTCAGTGAATATGCAAGCCTTTGGGATAGTATGAAGGTGAATGAGAACTGAAGTATGTGTTGGGTGCTGAATATAAAAGGTACACAAGATATATCCTGGTTCAGAGGTGGTGTAATCCTCCTACATCCACTCCCAACCTATTTCAGATGGATTTTCCACTAAATGAATATCCCATTACATTTAACGCCCAATCCTCGTGATTCCCTTCTGTTCCACTGGGTTCCAATATACCAGGGTTTGTTGCCATCCGGTGCCACACTTGGTCTTCCCGCACTCCTTCTGTATTTATAGACTTTGTTGTTGAATCTCCTCCATTGGCTGAGTGATCCAATCTTGATCGTTGCTTGATCTACTTGCTTTGTTCCACTTGACTGGGCAGCATGGTTGATTCTTGTCTTCTTGTGACACGGATCATTTTATCTTCACTCAACTTAATTCATCATTTCAAGGCAAAGATAAGATGATTTATCTTTATCTTTTTAGCTTACAGAAATTCAGTATCTAGGTCGAGTGTTGTTCAATGCTTTTCCTCAAGATAAGATTACTTGCTTTTAGTAAATAGTGTTACAAGAAATTTTGTCACATAATTTCTTGTAACATTATTTTCTATGCGTTCTGTCATTCTCACTGCATGTTGGTCTTCTGTCTTCTTGTTTCTGTGCTAAGAGAAGAATAGCAGATGTTGAGATTCCGATCAGAATACCTTAACAGAATACCTTACCAGAATACCTATGAGGTCTTCTGTTCTGGTGTCAACAGAGAACCAACTCTGTTTGAGGTTCTCTATTCTGATCATAACAGAAGGTCTTCTGGTATATATCAGAGACCCCCTTTCTGGTGTCACCAGAGTTGATCAGTTCTGATGTCCATCAGAGTTGAGGTTCTCTGGTATGATCAGAAGGTCATTGAAGGTTTTCTGATTAGTCTATTCAAAAGGGTTTCGGTTGACTCTTTTCGTACCTTTTTCTTTTTGTTTTTTTCCTCTTTGTTTTATGGTACATTTCTTCTCTTTTTAGTACTCTCTGTTTTTCTTGACTACTTTATCATTCTTGAGCACATTAGAATAAACAGTAGCAGAACAAATACAAGTGCTAGTCTATTACAAGGATAGTATTACAAAAAGGGGTGACATCATCAAAACAGGGATAGTATTAGAAAATATTTTGAACAGGATTTGTTATAAGAGAAAATAAAAATAAAAATGATCACCTTTAGCTACATCACCACACGTCAAAAACTAGAATGTTACGATGGAAAAATGTGATTGGTAGATTTGAATTGTAGATAAGCCAAAGAGTTTTTTCCAATTTTAGTCCTTCGACTATTTTCAGTATTTTGTTATTGACACTATTGATACTTGACTTTGACTTTTTTACTCTTAGTGCTTGACTATTGTGCCCGAGATACTTTTGGTATCCGTATTTGAAAATTTTCATATTTAGTTCTCTGAGTTTCATAAAAATGACACTTTTTTATCCTTCGGCTATTATAATAATCACATTTTTAGTTCTTCATTTATTGTGTGAAAATCATAGTTGAAGGACTAAAAGTATCAATTTGATAATACTCAAGAGATTAAATGTGAGAAATTTTGAAGTTGATGACTAAAAATGTTCCTAGTACAATAGTGTCAATAGTGTCTAGGACTCAAATTGGAAAAATTATAACTAGAATATCAAAAGTGTCAATGACACAATATAATCGCCAAAAAATATCGCTTACCATATACGGAGTACTACTCATTTGACTATTATACTTCGTACTATATAACCAAGTAATTATAGAAGTTCCTAGAAGTGACATAGAAATTTCTGCTACGCTTTAATTAATTAATTAAGTAAATATAAAATAGTACTTTCTTTGATGGGGGCTATTCTCGCATTGCATTCACTATAGATTTGCATAAATTAAAGGTGCCCTAGACTACTAATTAAAATTCAAATGTTACAGGAAGATATTGAACTCATGGCCGAGCTGAAATTTGAGGCCTATCGTTTTTCAATTTCATGGACACGGATATTTCCAAGTATGTTTTACTTTCTTTTAAGGCTTAAATTGGGACTTAGAGCCCTTAAGTATTTTTTTGAATCCCTAATGTATAATCAAAATAAGTATAATTGACAAAAGTATGATATCATAACTTTTAGTAACTAATTATATTCAGATTTTACATCATAGTGATTATATAGTACATTGTATGTTCTAAAAAGTTCTTTTAGTAACTAATTATGTGGTGCATTGTATCCTTTTAAAAACTTCCTCTTAATATATACTACATATATAAAGTAATACACCTTATTGATTGTATTTGGATTGAAATTTTATGATGTAAATTGATCTGGTAAATTAATAAATTATGATATTACACACCCATCTATCCCTTATAACATAGTCAAGTTTCCTATAAGGTGTTCTAAAAGATACCAACTTTTCCATTTAAATAATAAATTAATGGTTCTTATATATTGTACTCCCTCCGTCCCAAATTATTTTGTAAAGTCAATATTTTTTGGTGAACCAAAAATAAAAGTCAACCCTCACTATCAATAATTAACTAAATTTTTAATAATTAAAATTTACATATTCCGAAAATACATTAAAATCTCTTCAAAGTTACAAACTCCAAATTAGAATATAATTAAAAATTGACATCATGATTAAACAAATAAAATGAAACTGTTTGAGCAAAAAAAGTGAAATTTGCAAATAAATTTGGGACGAGGGAGGTAGCATATCTCACCCTTGCTGTTGAGGACCGATTCCCAATCGCCGGAAATTTGGTTCAGGTCGCTTGAACACTCGACCTGTTCTGATTGTTGCACCACCCCATCCGAAGGGAGCAACACACTCTACCTAGCATTGCCTCGCTAAGAAGGAGCTCTCTTCAAGAGAGGGTAGAAAGAAATCTCACAACACCCACCTGAAATAATAGGATGAAAAGTGTATTTTCTTTTTCAAGTTTTAAATAACAAATCCTTTGTTTTCTTTTAACTAACTTTCGATTGAATTTTTTGATGTAAATAATCTGTACTTGGTAAAAAACCATGTTCGTTCACAAGTGTTTGCCCCGCGGCACATCCGGTCAGGAGGGTCTGGGAATCTGGGATGAATGTGACTCTATATATATATGTCAATATGTGTGTATTATAATTTGTGTACTGTACACATGTCTGTAGATGGAACTGGGAATATAAACTGGAAAGGGGTTCGATACTATAATCGGCTGATCAATTACATGCTACAAAAAGGTAAATAATATTATAAAGAAAAAAGTGCATGTTTGCACAACGCTGTAGGTTCAAACATTGAATTTGTGCTTGTTTTGCAGGCATTACTCCCTATGCAAATCTAAACCATTATGATCTTCCTCAAGCCCTTCAAGATAGATACGGAGGTTGGTTGGACCGCCGAGTCGTGTAAGTGTTTGGATTTATCTTGAACTCCGTCGGACATAATTGTGCTACTTACTCACATATCTTTGGATTTGCAGAAAGGACTTCGCCGATTACGCAGAGTTCTGCTTCAAGACATATGGAGACAGAGTCAAAAACTGGTTCTCGTTTAACGAGCCGCGGGTTGTGGCGGCTTTAGGGTACGATAACGGATTTTTTGCCCCAGGAAGGTGCTCCAAACCTTTTGGGAACTGCACGGAGGGTAACTCCGCATCAGAGCCTTACATTGTTACACACAATCTTATTCTCAGTCATGCGGCTGCGGCTCATAGGTATCGCACCAAGTACCAGGTACCCCCCCGTTTACAATTTGCACTGTCATTTGAAGGGATGAAAAGAATATATCCCTTTTTTCCTAACTGCTATTGTATTGGATTGACCGGAGTTGGTGTGTGTTTCAGGCAACACAAGGAGGGAGATTTGGCATTCTGTTGGATTTCGTATGGTATGAACCTCTTACAAGATCAAAGGCTGATAATTATGCTGCTCAAAGAGCTAGAGACTTTCATATTGGCTGGTAATTCTTATAACTACCTCACTGGTAGACTAATGTTTTGGAAATGTTCTTAACATTTTATTTCTACCTTTAGACCTTGCAATGTTATGAAATTGGCAGTTTTAGATTTTCGTCTAGTATAAGCATCCACTTTTAATCATTACTGAAATGATATTTCCCATTAGTCGAATGAAGTGATTTTTGAGAAATATTTACTGATTGATATGCCCAACTTCGGGTTTTAATAATTACATACAGGTTTTTACATCCTCTGGTCTATGGGGAGTACCCAAAAACAATGCAGAATATTGTTGGGAACAGGCTTCCTAGGTTTACACCAGACGAGGTTAAGATGGTCAAAGGATCAATTGACTATGTTGGCATAAACCAGTATACTACTTACTACATGTATGACCCACCCACTGCAAACCGATCACGCATTCCCGGTTACCAAAATGATTGGAATGTCGGATTTGCCTGTAAGATGATTGAATTACAGATTATCCTTTGATTGATTATGCATGCATGTATATTCATACTAATCATTGGATACCTTTGACTTACATAACACAGATAATCGGAATGGAGTGCCAATTGGTCCGAGGGTGCGTCCAAAAGCTCTTTATATGTTTATTTATACAGTCAAATGATCATTTAATTATACATATTGGGAAACTTTGTTTGATAACTTATCTATGTTAGAATGTTGATGGCATATGCCTCTCTTGAATTTATCCTCATTTTTCCTTGTGTGGCAGGCAGATAATCTGGAACACTCCCAAAGCTCACATTGCTTCTCAAGACACCATGCATCTTAGCTCACTTTTCAAGTTATCAATTTTAAAGAAAGTGGCGCAGGCAGTAAATAGGTCGTGGATTCAAAAGTGAGTTAAGGTGGATGGTGTTTCAGAAGCGGGATGACTTCTAAGAGTGTTTCATGTCATGTAAGACAAAATTAGCCAAAAACATTATCATGGACTTCTGTTATCATTTTTGTACTACAAAAAATGTCGTTTTGTGTTGTGATGGAATTCCATTACAGATATCCAATAACATACATTATGTTACAAATTCTTTTGTGACGGATCAAGTTGCAAATGACAATTTTTTTGCAGTGTAGAGTTAAGGTGCCCTTTTTATTCTTAAATACATATATAGTTGAATGACCAAAGCCTACGAGGTATCTGGTTTGTTTTCTTATTTCTTGGTTAGTTGGTTTGATATTTGTTCATAGGCGCATTCTGACTGGCTCTACATGGTGCCATGGGGATTGTACAAAGCTATCACTTACGTAAAAGAGCGGTATGGCAATCCACTCATGTTCTTGTCTGAAAATGGTAAGGGTCACATGGAGATTTAATTAAAACAGAAAATGAAGAAGGAATACAAATAAATATGTTGGACATTCCTCACCTCTCTCTTTAACTTATAGGAATGGACTATGCTGGCAATCTGACATTAGCTGAATCTCTAAATGACACAACAAGGATCGATTACTACAATAGCTATTTGACTCAACTGAAGAGGGCAGTTGATGACGGAGCCAACTTGTTTGGCTATTTTGCATGGTCATTGCTTGATAACTTTGAGTGGAGGTTAGGCTACACATCGAGATTTGGCATTGTCTATGTTGATTTCAAAACACTCAAGAGATACCCTAAGATGTCAGCCTACTGGTTTCAGAATTTCATTAGCAGAAACAAACATTAGCTTGCTTCATCACATGTTTATATTTTAAGGTTTTTTACATGTTTGGTCAATCCTCAGCCCTAGCAGCTCATGTGGTTATTCTGTAATAAAAGTTCTTATATGTTGTTTTGAAACACAAATAAAACGTTTTGGAAAATTTGGGATTAATATACAAGGAAGTTCTAGTGTACTAACTTTATGTAGTTGATCATCCTTGCTAGACCCCGCATTTTTACTCAAATATTTCATTGGACAATAATAATTAAAACCTTGTGTCACAATACGTTATTTGAAAATCACAAAGTGCCTCATTAAAACCTTAGGCCAAGAAAATCCTATGGGACAAAACTCGATTAAGGAAAAAAATACAACTACATTTGGTTTCTCAAATCGACCAATCAATTATTCCACCTCACGAGGACCAATTAAAACCTTGAGGGCATTATATTCTAAATTAATGCTAAAATCACTCTTCTAGAAGATGGTAGTCTTCAGAATGTTATTTATTCTTCTCTTTGAAAACCACAAAATACCTTGTTAAATCCTTTGGCCAAGAAAACTCTTTGGGACAAAAACTTGACTAAGGAAAAATAATACTCCCTCTGTCCCGAAAAGGTTGGCCAAAGTTGACTTTCACGTGGATTAATAAAGTAAAAATTGTGTTATTGAAATTTATGCAGAGGAGAGAGAATTAATTTTAGCCACATATTCCTTACTTTAAATGGAAATGTCAAATCTTTTTGGGACATTTTTTTGGAGACATCTAAAAAAGGAAATTTGGTCAACCTTTTCGGGACGGAGGGAGTAACACTTTATCTTCTAGACCAATTAATCGTTTCACCTCAAAAACAATAATTCATTATGTTTAGGAAAATACATACGATAAAGCCATAAAGGGATGAGAAAGTACATAAAAGGTACCTATGGTTTGGGCCGTTTTCAGATAGGGGCACGTGTTTCATTGTTTAACAGAGCGGGACATGTGTTTCAATTCCGTTATCACAGCTGGGGCATGGCGTCTAACGCCGTTAGAAAAATTAACTCCGATTTTCAAAAGTCTCCGTAAAATTAAAAGAAATATATCAGGAGGTGCGCCTCATAAAGAAGACCTCCAGATCATCTTTCTTTTTTGTTTCCAGCCACCCTGTCATCAGAAAGTTCACTAGAAAAGTGATATTAGCAAATTCGTTTTTAAAAAATAATCCAAATAGAGCTGAAAAATCCAAAGAGAAATATAGTTCGTTGGTCTCCTTGATGAGGCACACCTCCCAGTATTTTTCTTTTAATTTTTTGGAGACTTTTGAAAATCGGAGTTAGTTTTTTTAACGGCGTTAGACGCCATGCCCCAGTTGTGATAATAGAAATGAAACGCATATCCCACTTTGTTAAAAAATGAAACACGTGCCCCTATCTGAAAACGACACAAACCACATGTACCTTGTATGTACTTTTCCCTACGATAAGCAACTCCATGAAATTTGAGCTAATGAGAATCTTTAGTAATTGTCTTCAAACTCTTTAAGAGTTTCTAAGTGGGAGTAATTGTCTAAACTTGTCATTCTATAATGTGTATTTCAAGACCATCAAGTTTATTGTTATTATACACATCAAACATTCAATACACGAGTGATGGTACCATGGATTCTGACCATGGCCCAATTACGTAGTCCAGCCCGTGACGGGATGAACCTAATTAACAAGATTAGCCCATAAACGGGATCAAGCCTTGAGTGGGATCCATATTGAATGAGCCGCTAGGCCCAATTAGGGATCAGGCCCGCGATAGAAACCCACAGCCAGGCCGGGCTGGTCAGCTGCCCTTGAGTCTGGGCGGAGTTCTAGTGAGATTGGCATGTCCCTAGGGTTTACGTGGCAGAGTGTCGTTTAAGCATAGCTATTTGGCAGCAGGCAGGGCTCCACAAGAAACGTATACTTAAAGGAGATAATCATGGCACGATGATGGGGACGCCGCTGGAGTCCTATTCGAACTAATGCATAATTAATAGCATTTAATGTAGGTAGTTTCCTCTTAGAATACTAACTCCTAAAGTCTATAAATACTGTCTGTAAATATCCTGAGGGGGGATCGGAAAATCATTGTTCCAAATAATAATAATACTGCCTTACGCTGCCATATTTCGATATTTTAGTAGATTTAGCTCTCATAGTTGGATTAAACTCCATCATTGAGAGTTGAACTCAAGACGATGGTTGGATCCAATAGCCACAACCATATGAGTAGCAACCAAGGCGGCGATCGTTCCGACCGGGTCGTGACCGAGGACGAAGGATCGAGGTCACGACGAAGCGACTTCAGGAGACGCAACGTCAATTTCGCCGCTCCAGGCGATCTAAGGAACCAGCTCCAAGGCATGGGAAGTTCCAGGCGAACGATGATGCGGCCACCGCAATTCCAGACGCCGGGTACCAGACATAATATCTCCAACGTGGATCCGGCACATGCCTTAGCAAGTTTGGCAACGTTTCAAAGGGCGGTGGAGACCCTGACTACTGTTTTCCAAGGTATCATTACCGATCCCACTGGGAGACCTCCCTCTCCCCACCAGGCTTCATCCATGGCCCGACGAGGTGGGGAGGTATCTCTTCAACTTCTGAGGGATGCTCCACCAGCAAGGTCTCAACGCTCCCACCATTCCAGAATGACCCCCAGGATTCTTGTGATGAATCGAATGAGTGAACAACAAGTTTCTGTCCTTGAGAGGCTCTCCTCTAGAGCTGAGCACAGTGAGGAAGCCTCTTCGGCCGCTGTTTCGTCCCACCACCGCAACGCGGGTAGGGGAGATCTTCGGGATGAGATCAATGCGAATAGGCAGGCTCAAAGAGGTCACCAATCTCCATTGCGTACCCAGGCAGGTCACAACAACGACCTCAGGAGGAGGCTGGACGAACTTAGAAGGGAGATAGATGGTAGAACCAATCTCAATCGTGATGTAAGAATCCCTGAGCCGTTCACGCGCCAGATTATGAACGCACCGTTACCGCAAGGGTATAGGCCATGCAACATTGAGGCCTACCGAGGGAAAACTGACCCCCAGCATCATGTCTCCAGGTATGTGGCCTACATGGTCATGATGGGGTATGATGACGCCATCAAGTGTAGGGGATTCTCGGTGACTCTATACGAGCCGACCCACGAATGGTATGATTCCTTGCCAGATGGGGGAATAAGGAACTTTCGGGAGTTAGCACATGCATTCGTGGCACGTTTTGCCACCTCTAAGGGCTCCAAGAAGAATGTCTCTCACATCTTGCGAATCAAGCAGGGTCCCCAAGAAACCCTGATGGATTTTCTAGATGACGAATCTGCTGTAGTTATTCTCACCAATGCTCTGAGGTCGGGTGAGTTATATAAAGACTTCGTACGCAAGCCCCCACCTCACACGAGGAGGCCTTACTGCGCACAAACACGCAAGCCGAAGTAGAGGAAGCCGAAAAGCGGAAGAGAGACGAGGAGACCGGGAAGCCCCAATCGGATGGGGAGAAGAAGAAGAGTTCAGAGAAAGAAACCCTTGACCAAGATAAGGGTAACAGGTTCAAGAAGAAGAAGGGCTGGGGTAAGGGCAAATCAAGTGTTCTGGAAGGCCCATTATCCGGCCAGCCTGAATTCCCAGTTGGCACGGTCCTGGATTACGCGGCGAAACAAGGTTTGATCACGGTCCCTGAGGGATGTAACATCGTCAGCAGTCAAGCCTCCAGGGGTAAATATTGAAAAATTCATAAAAACGATACCCATGAGACTAACGAATGTTATATCCTGAAAAAATATGTGGAAAAGCTGGTCCGTGAAGGACAACTGGACCAATTTGTGAAGAAAAACCAGCAGGAGCAACTCTCGCCGAGGAAAAACACCTGGAGCAAGGGGAAAGACGAGCTTCAACCTCTAAAAAGAGGGAGGTCGGAGCCCAGTTCGAGGATGATAATGAAGGAGAGGATTCAGGCCGGCATAAGCGCATGCACATCAACCAAATATATGGCGGACCTGTCGGAGGGGACACTGCAGGAGAAAGAAAAAAGTGGAATTGCCAACTATTCGTTGGGGAAATCAACCGACTTCCTGCTGACAAGAGGCAGAAATGGGAAACCATCACCTTCAAGGATGACGATCCCCCTCCATGCCCCCACCCCACAGAGATGCTTTGGTAATAAAGATGGAGGTTATGGATGCAATTGTCCACAGAGTTCTCGTGGACAACGGAAGTTTAGTCAACATACTATACTTGGATGCCTTCGTGGAAATCGGGCTCCAGAAAGAAGCTCTCAGGCCTGTAAGGACCCCTCTTTCAGGTTTCACCAGAGACACGATTGACCCGGAAGGGGTGATCACTGTCAAGATCCAGCTCGGATCAAAACCATGCATCCGGAAAATCGAAACAGATTTCGTTGTTGTTCAGCTGCCCAGTGTTCACAAAGCCATCCTGGGCCGACCTCTACTGGAAGACCTGGGAGCCATTGTTTCCCAGGCTCATCTGTGCATGAAATTCTACACACCAGCGGGAATTGGAACAGTAAGAGGAGACTAGAAGATGGCCAGAAGTTGTTATGTGAGAGCTTGCAAAGTTCATGGAAGAAGTGATATGAGGATCAATGTTATCGAACAGGAAGTACCGAGATACGAGCATGAGAAATTCAAAGCTCAGCACACCTCAGAGCTGGAAGAGGTCTATCAGCAAGCCGCAAAGAGTTGGGAAGGGCCCTATAAGATCAAGGGGATACTTGGACCCAAAACCCATAGATTGTATACTCCTAAAGGGAAACTGGTGGACAAGGGTGGAATTCGGCGCACTTATTGAAAATTCTACCAGTAAGCATGTAATTTCCTTTCATTTTGAGCCTTAATAAAATTTTGTTTTCATTTAACATTGTCCTTTATGCATTACTTGCAAAGTTTTCTTAACCGGCCATAAAAAAAAATGAAAAAGGGTACTCGCAAAAGACAAAGTATAAATTCAAAACTCATCTAAGTTCCAAAAGCTCAACTTAGTCTTACTAAAGATGACAACAGGGACAAAACAACCTTTCTCAAGGTTAAGCAGCCTTACAAACGAAGTCAAATTTCCTCAAACAGGAAAAGACAACCTTTCTCAAGGTTAAGACTAATTTTACAAGGCTAAAGATGAAATTAAAAGGAATTGACTTTGCACCGGAGAGGCTCACAAGCCTCGCCAAATAAAGA